AACAATGCTGTCACTGTCACGGCCTACCATATAACATTGTCCATGAGTAATTAGGCCTCTCACGGCCTAATTAGTGAGATTTAGTTATAATACCCTAATATGCATTTTGGACCATATCAATGTCCGATCTGTCAAAATATATTATAACTAAATCTGTAAATCCTTACGTAATTGGAAAAAGTCAGAAATGCCTGAAAAAGGTTTAGCAATTATAAGATATCTTATTTTCTTAATAAAAAAACCTTTTCGTTTTTTAATAGTATCTCGCTTATTGTTAGAGATGGACCCAACAAACCCTACATGACTATGCTGGACAAGGAAGGTTCTATCCAAATATGTAAAAATATACAGGGTGTTCCATTTAACTTAACAAAGTTAACATCCGCGGCCATTTTGTTTGGACTTCATTTGTTTTTCTATATCATTTTCGAAAAATTCATAAAAACTCGTGCAACTTTTATATTTAACATTTTTGTATAACTCTTAAAACAAAAAAGTTAAAAGGGGGGGTCAAAATATAGTGAATCACCCTGTACAAAATTATCTATCATGAATGTTTTATGTGAAAATTTGATATCTCATATGGATGACATTAAAACAGAACAGAACAGAACAGAACTTTGACTTAGAATAGGAATTATAATTTTGTTTTTATATTTGGCAAAGTGAATTTACAGGGTGATTCTAAAATATGTAGCCAACCTTATAGGGCAGAAACTAGAGGAAGAGTTACAGACCCTTAAAGTTGAAACAAGAAATTACAAATTTCTCCTAAATGTCTGAAGATATTTTTTTCAAATTTGGCACACAACCAATGCTAACGCTATGTTTTCAAGTGAATATCAATGCATTGACGGCATGGGGGTAATGTAGGGGTAGTCGCTCTGTTTCACCCTGTATTTTTATACTCCATATTTTGATGGCTTGTGCAGCATCATTGGACAGACTATTTAATTTTAAAATGTTTTTTTTTCTCCTGAAATTTTTTGTTACGTTAAACATTAAACATGATAATTTTATTCTATTGATAATTTTTAAGTAAAAAAACGAATGGCAAATAAGGCACTATTAAAAGCATTAATTCTTATTATTAGTACCTACTTAATTAAATTAATAATATTAAATTACAATTTCAACAAAAATTTATTATTTAAAAAGATACTAATAATATGCATATTATGGGTATTAAAAATATCATATCTTACAAATATGAATATGGTACGGCTTTAACTGTTGCTCTCCTAACACTCGCCACACTACAGCTTGTGATACATTGCCTTGTAAGCGCCGAGAAATTTTCTTGTGGAAACTGTAGAATTTCCTAGAAAATCACTTCTTTAGTACTATTAGCTCGATTAGCATCACTATGTCTGAATTTAAATGAACCATTTTCCCACAATAGACACTCAATATTCCTAAAAGTTTGTCTGTGTGGCACACGACGATTTAGACATTTTCTCCATATACGGTCTAACAGCAGCCCTTGAATTACTGTTATACAGTGTAGGAAAGTACCGATGGTCTATCAGAAGTTACGTGAGAGCGATAAAGTAAGCCATAGAAATCCATGTGATAGACAAGGATGGCAATAATGAAGGCGTCTAATCGTCAACGCCCATTTCGCCCTTCCACAAATAAGANCGCCCCCAAAAATAATATTTCCGTGATAACTCGGGTTCTAATCAATATTTTGGAATGAAACAAAATGGAAATTACTTCTTATAAAAAAAACGTTGTTTCACAAGTGATTCCGTGTTTGGGGGTTGCAACCCTTATTTTTTATTTCGTAAAAAATGTTTTTTTGCACTTTTTAATAAAAAATTTATATTTGCTCAAAAAAATTAAAAAATATCATTTATGTTAACAAATTGACAAAATTAAATTGACCTGTTTTTTTCGGCGGAAAAACATATTTACGGGGTGAAATACAGCCTTAAAGTATGCCCCCAAAACAGTTTTTTCTAAATATCTGGGGTTGTAATTAATATTTTGAAATGAAACAAAATGGAAATTACTTATTATAAAAAACAAATATTTCGGAAGTGATTCCGTGTTTGGGGGTTGTTGCTATCCTTATTTTTTATTTCAGAAAAACTATATCTTTTTTATAAAAAATTTATACTTACTCAAAGAGAGTTAAAAATACGATTTATGTAAACAAATTAACAAAATTAAATTGACCTATTTCGGGTTTTTGGTTAAAATTTCTTGTTAAGGGGTGAACAACCCCTTAATGAGAAAATTGCCTGTACGATTAGAATTAACATTGTAAAATAAAAAAAAATGCTTTTTCTCTAACCATACGAATAATTTTTTCTTTTAAGCCTAAAACGGATTTACACGGATGCAAACCACCCCTCGTGTTTACCCCCAAAAGTAATATTTCCGTGATAACTCGGGTTCTAATCAATATTTTGGAATGAAAGAAAATGGAAATTTGGAAATTACTTCTTATAAAAAAAACATTGTTTCACAAGTGATTCCGTGTTTGGGGGTTGCAACCCTTATTTTTTATTTCGTAAAAAATGTTTTTTTTGCAAACTTTTTAATACAAAATTTATATTTGCACAAAAAAATTAAAAAATATCATTTATGTTAATAAATTGACAAAATTAAGTTGACCTGTAAAGTATGCCCCCAAAACCGTTTTTTCTAAATATCTGGGGTTCTAATTAATATTTTGAAATGAAACAAAATGGAAATTACTTATTATAAAAAACAAATATTTCGGAAGTGATTCCGTGTTTGAGGGTTGTTGCTATCCTTATTTTTTATTTCAGAAACACTATATTTTTTTTTTATAAAAAAATCATATTTACTCAAAGAGAGTTAAATATGATTTATGTAAACAAATTGACAATTAATTGACAATAAACAATAAATTGACCTGTTTCGGCGTTTTCGTTAAAATTTCTGTTTGGGGGGTGAACAACCCCTTAGTGTGAAAAATGCCTGTACGATTAGAATTAACATTGTAAAATAAAAAAAAATATTTTTCTCTAACCATACGTATAATTTTTTCTTTCAGCCTAAAACGAATTTAAACTTATGCAAACTATACCCCTGACGTTCACCCTCCAAAAAAAGTTGATTTCTAAATATTTCGGGTTCTAATCAATATTTTGGAATGAAACAAAATGGAAATTACTTCTTATAGAAAAAAAACATAGTTTCACAAGTGATTCCGTGTTTGGGGGTTGCAACCCTTATTTTTGATTTCGGAAAAAATGTTTTTTTTTGCAAACTTTTTTTATAAAAAACAAAAAAAATTGATAGGGCCAATAGAGGACAAAATATATAAAAATGTGTTTTCGGGTATGAACATTAAAGATGGTCCTCACCCTTCAAAATAGTTTTTCCGCAGAAAGAAACAAGTACCCAATATTTATTTTTCTACTGTCTGTTGGTGTGTATCAAAGTTTCACCCTTAAAGGCTTAAAACTCGATCCACCAATATTCTTNCTCACGTAACTTCAGATAGACCATCGGTACTTTCCTACCCTGTATTTGCCTAAAGTGAGCAACATATCAGTTTGTTCTCCAAGAATAAAATTCGGCATTTTTTAATAAATTAAATTAAAACTTTTAAACAAGTATGGTATTTTAACTAACACACTTAATTATCAACACTACTGTCTGTATGCCTTTTCAATAGTTTTAATAAGCTTGTTTTAAGCAACCTACGTGAAAAATATTTAATAAAATTAAATGTAGTGTGATGAATCCAAGCCAATTATCTTGTTTAATATTAGTCATATCAAAATATTTCAAAAGAAAAAAACCTTTTAAAATTAAATTATCTGTCCACTGATGCTGCACAAATCATTAAAATGTGGAGTATAAAAAAATACAGGGTTAAATAAAAACTGACTACTCCTACGTTACCCCTATGTCTCAATGCAATTTGTTGATATTAACTTGAAAACATGGTTATTTATTAGCATTGGTTGTGTGCCAAACTTGAAAAACATATCTTTGGGCATTTAGGAGAAATTTGTATTCTTACTTTTTTTGTTTCAACTTTAAAGGGCTGTAACTCGTTAGGGGTGCATTTTGGTAACTAGGTAAATTAGTTCAGTCTATTATGACTTCTAATTTCTGCCCTATAAAGTTGGCTACATATTTTAGAATCACCCTGTATATAAGTAAATCGGGTGATTTTTTTTTAACCTGAAACTTGAATATCTCGAAAAAATAAGCACTCTATGAAAAAATGTCCATAATCAAAATTTTATCATTCCGCGAAGGAAATCGTCGTTGCACCTTTGAAATGCTATATGTGATTATTTTCAGCAAAAGGCGTTAAGTTCTGCACATTCAATAAACCA